GATTCGTAAAAATACACAGCAACTCACCTCTGGCTACCAGACACGTTTCACAAAGGCTGGAGCCATATTTCTATTTCGATTACTGAAATATTGGAAATAAAATATAACCGCTATCGGATTTCCACGCGACAGGCGGAAATAAAGCCTACCAACGAATCGGTACGGCAGCCGCATCGACGCGTCGTCGGAGCCTCCACCTGACGTCACACGAATGAAATTTTCAAAAGTTCCACTATTATATGAATACTTTAGGTATGATGAAAATTCTAATAGATAATTAAAGAAGAATCCAAATTGTAACGAATTTCACAAGTGACTTCTAGTCAGGAATAAAAACCACGAACACAAATATATTGAATACATTTAAAAAAATATATTTTAATGTATATATGGAATGGGAACATTTATGTATGATAAGTATGTATATATAAAGATATATGAAGTATGCACCCATGAATACCACCAGCTAAAATTCCAGTTCATCCTAAGGGAGCCTGGAAGGAATTTCTCTAAGTTCCAAGGTCACCCTTTCTACATTTTTAGTTCCAAATTATCTTTGAAAACTCTGCTGTATCAATAAAAATATTATCTATTTTACTATCAATGTACATTATACACAACCACAAAAACTGCGTCCTTAGTTAACTCTGTGTGCGTAGAACACACGCAGGCATGTTGAATCTTGTGAATGTCTTTTTTCCTGATCATCAATTCACCTCTTTTTGAAAAAACTGCAAAACTTCTATCTTCTGGCACTGTATTAGTGCTAATTTGTAAATAAGAATGATATTGTGCCAAGTTCATCTCAATAAGACATTTGTTCATATTTAGAACCATAATACTAATCACTATTTATTTATTTTTGTAGTATTTTTTACTATTTAATTACTATTTTTTTTTTTTTAATTACTATTTTTTTTATTTATTACTTTTTTTAACTTATTTTTTATTTCTATATTTTTTTTTACTATTTATTTAAATCTAGTCTAGGTCACTTTGTAATATAACTTTAAGACCTGAAATAAGGTATTAAGGTACAAGTAACATCACACTGCTTTTTTTTAAATAAAATAAGTAATGATGTGTTAAAAGTAATGTAAATAACTACAAAAAATATAAAGTGATATCACTATTATTGTTAACCTTCGCAATTCGTGCATACATAGGCATAAAATTATGCAAATCAGTCTTGGTTCAGTTGAATAAAAAACATAAATACCATATATTTAAAGTGAACTGAGGCAATATTAACGAAACGGGTAAATTTTTTACTTTATTAATAATTTTTAAACTTAAAATGGATAGTTGTTAGCAAGATGTCGGCTATCCTACTGAGCAATGTTGATTTCCTATCCATAAATAAAAGCATTAAGTTTAAAAGTAGAAATGATTTTTGAGTCTATGGTAGGTATAGAGTTAAAAAAATGTTACAACTTTTAAATTAGAGCTGATCTGAAATCGGTCAACAGATTTTCAAAGAACAATCTATATAAACTCACCTTTTAAAGAAAAAGACTAAATCAATACACCAGTATAGACTTCGGTCGTCGCCTTATTATTCTGTTCCATGGTATCAATTTTTTTCTGTGTGAAATTCGCATATTATTCATTACTGAAATAAGTTAGCATTTATTTTAATTATTTAAAGGACAAGAGAATTTTTAGGACAAAAGTACAGTCAAACACTTAGCTTAATGAAGATAGGTATAAAATATAAATTAGCTACACAAACATTTTGTTCATGAAATTGGTTTTATTGGCCATCCTGTGCCTTAATAAAGTAATTATTGTTAATGTTAATGTACCTGTATAAAAAAAAAACGATATATTTGTTATGTGACTTAAATAGAATATTCGGTGTTCGCTGATAGTAAATTAAGGCAAGTCAAGCCGGATACCGGATAATTACCGTACATCTGTTTTCATTGTGTCGTGTCCATAGTTATAATAATTAGGTATATAATTTTCAACATTTATCATTATTTATATTTGTATTTTTTAACAAGATTATGTTTTTTTTTTAATCCACAGAGGAAGTTGAAATCTGTATAGCAATGAAAATATAATAGTACTGCTAAGTTTTATAAATGACTTAAAATTCAAAACGCATATATGTACACAGTATCTGTTATGAATTGTACTCAATGATATCATGATACCAAAGAACATCTAGTTAATTAGTAAAGACCCTATTAGAAAATTTATTAAAACTTTACAAGTATTTCGGTCATGAAATTTCAATAATTCAAATCTCGAACGAGCCATTAACATCACGTCATATCCATTTTATAATTTAATTTACCTACAAATTCAATTCAAAATATTTCACAAGGCAATGTTCAAAAATAAATTAATAGACATGCTGTATGATAGTGCGTTAATCATGATTATTCTGAAATGAAGAGGCTGTTGTCTGACTCAGGTAGTCGTGTTCATTACCTGGACAAAGCAGAGTGTTTTTCACGTTAAATTGGGTGTAGAGAGGCAATTTGAGCGGACGTCTGCTCACGACACCGGCCAGGGCAGTTTTTTTAATTTTTGGCCCACCCTCACCGTTGCGAAGTTCATACCTACATATCTATCTACCCCATACACTCACATAGTTCATGTTCGTTTGCATACACATGCTGTACGCGACTTTTCAATTACCTACACTGACCCGCCAATATTTATTGAATGTTTTTTTTTTCATCGAACCCCATTCAATATTTCGAAACACATGAACCGAACAAATGACTGTTGATAGACACATAGTTATTAAAAACGTAGCTTTGACTTTCAATGTACGGTATTCGGTTGTATGTTATTCCATACAACCGAATATGGTATTCCATAAACAGAATTATTATAAGTATGTATTTATAACACATGAATTACTATTGTTTAAGGACTGCATAAAAAGTTTACTTTTGGTTTGCAGATGTATAAAGGATTGATGATTAGTCTTGATTATGCATTTCACAATAAGTAAGAACTCAGAAATAAAGTAATATAACACGGTGGGATCACACGTTGTTTATTTAAATTGTTATTGAGTGCATATCTATTAATCGTACACAGTATTAAACCATACAGTAACTTTATTAAAGCTTGAAACTTCTTCAAAATATACTTAATTTCTTTTTCTTTTATCTTCTTCAATTCTCAAAACTTTTATTAAACCTAAGAACTGAAAAATTCTTCAATCAAGTTGGTAATTTTTGCCACTTTGTTAGCAAACCTAAACTTACAACCCCACGTTTTCAACTGTCATAGTTTTTAAAACTACTTCTTAATTTGTATTGTTATTTACAAAATTCTTTACCATTCCTATAGATACATATTACTTTCTTGTTAAAACTGAAAGCTATTTAGCGCAAATCGTGGCCTTGGGACGTCGAACTTCTTTTCCCTTACGGTTGTCGGTTCTGCGGCTAATATGGCCAGCCCACTGCCACTTCAGCTTGCTTCATCCGGTAGGCTATGTCGGTGATCTTGGTTCTGTGCCGGATCACCTCATTCCTGATGCTATCGCTTAGAGAAACGCCAATAGTCCAGGAGCCAGTGACAGATTTTCATTACCAAGTCCCTCCCAATCGAAACTTCGTAAAATGCATAAGGGACTTATACTATGAATACTCGCGACCGTCAGCTGCGACTCCGTGGGTGGGGTGGGCAGTGGCAGCTTCCCACGCATGGAGAAAAAAAAAATTTCAGTCATTTCCTCTCATTTGAAAATTTATCAGAGTATAGTTTATGTAGTATTTTGAAAGAAAAACATAGTTAGCTGACCATAACACGGTGGATTATACGTCAGCTGGCTCCTTGAACATGAAAAAAATTATATTTTCAATGATTTCCTCTTAACTAAAAATTTACCTGGTAATCGTTTATATGCTACAATAAATGAAAATTAATGTCAGCTTGCTGTATCTCAGTGGAAATTTTGTCAGCTGGTACCTTGAAAGGTGTAACGCAACAGCATCTATGACCTACTGAAACTTATCAGCTGGCGACTTTTCCCTTGGCTTACAGCTAGCTGATTTTTTTTATTATTTACTAGAGTATTTTAACAATTCTCTGATAAATTTTCATCCGGGAGGAAATAACGTTTCTTAAGTTATTCTTTACTTCTATATTGCAGGTAGATTGTAAATTAAAATTACCTTCTCCAGATGCTTTACTATAGCAAAGGGTACACTTGGAGAGGGTAAGTTTTACCCATGACTGCGTACAAAGGCCTTTTGTTGTGTATACGATGGATATTTCATGCTACATCAAATGAAAGACGTTCCTCTTCGCTTTGGAAATATTTAAAAAAAGTTTTACAGATGATTTGTGCAAACACAGCTAAGATTATCATCATTGCTTTTGATCGGTACATATTTAAATCGATCAAAGATACGGAACATAAACTTCGAGGTATGGAGCAAGCTAATTTTCATATCGATGGTCCTGATCAAGTACGAAAAAAGGATTTTTCAGCCGAGCTAAAAAATATTTATTTCAAGGAAGCACTTATTCAGTTTTTTATTGAAAATTGGGAACAAGATTATATGGCACCATACATGGGAACCAAAACTATTTATGTGAATACGGATACTTGTTATAGATACGTGGTCACTGATGGAAAACTTGTAAGAACTGTAAAAAACGCATTTTCGTGTCCAGCTCATGAAGAAGCAGATACAAAAATGGTTTTTCAAGCTTGTCAAGTCGATTTTAGTGCTAACTTAACGATTCGTTGTTCTGACACTGATGTATTGGTCATAATGTTAGCTAATATGGTCCATGTTTCACAAGATGTTAACGTTTTTATGTAAGTCGGTGTTGGAAAACATGTGAAGTTCATCAATGTCACTCAACTTTATGAAACTTTGGGATCGGATTTGAGCGCAGCACTTTCGGCATTCCATGCATTTACAGGATGTGATTACAACCCTGCATTATTTAGAAAAGGCAAGAAGCGTCCATTCACGATAATGTCAAAATCTGAAGCTTTTACGGAGTGTTTCGTAAAAATGACAGAGCCATCGATGAACAGGGATGAGTTATTTCGCAAAATTCAAGAGTTTACTTGTCAAATGTATGGTCTTAATCGGTTAAAAATAATTAACGACGCTAGGGTTGCATTGTTCCAAAAAACTTACAAATTTTTGGACAGCAATGATGAATTTCAGTTGCCTAAAAAAGGTATTGACGCTTCTTCTCTACCACCATGCGAGTCAGAACTGAACAAGCAATTTTTAAGGGCGTGTTACATTGCGCAAATTTGGTCTCACGGTAACCTTCAAATTCCAACAACTGAAGAACCCACAGACTATGGTTGGATAGAAATAGACAACCGATTTGAATTTGATTGGTTTTCTGGGGTTTAGTTACCAACATCGATTGAGGAGATAACCATTCAGCCTGAGAAAGGTATCAATTCTTTTTTTATATTTTTATTTTTTCATATGATCATGTTTTACTATACATGCGGACTAATAATTTTTCTTTTCATTTTTTCACAGATGATGATGATGAAGACATGATCGCATATAACTCTGACAGCGACTCTGACAGTGAATCAGAGAGAGATGAAAGCGACTCAAGCCAAAGCGAGAATGAAAATGATAAATTTTTATTGTTTTTTTTAATCAATTAATGGAAATAAAAGTTTATTAATTGAAAAAACAAGCTACAATAAATTATTCAATAATTAATTTACTCATACCAACATTTCCTGCAATATTAAACTTCATATTTGTCATCACAACTCTCAAATCAAACATACTGCCAAATAACTTAAGAAACATTATTTCCTGCCTGATGAAAATTTATCAGAGAATTGTTAAATTACTCTAGTAAATAATAAAAAAAAATCAGCTAGCTGTAAGCCAAGGGAAAAGCCGTCAGCTGATAAGTTTTAGTAGGTCATAGATGCTGTTGCGTTACACCTTTCAAGGTACCAGCTGACAAACTTTACACCTTTCAAGGGGTACCTTGAAAGGTGTAAAGTGTTAGTGGTGGTGTAAAGGTCAGCTGGCAAGCTGACAAACTACTGAGATACAGCAAGCTGACATTAATTTTCGTTCATAGTAGCATATAAACGATTACCAGGTAAATTTTTAGTTGAGAGGAAATCATTGAAAATAGAATTTTTTTCTCATGTTCAAGGAGCCAGCTGACGTATAATCCACCGTGTTATGGTCAGCTGACTATGTTTTTCTTTCAAAATACTACATAAACTATACTCTGATAAATTTTCAAATGAGAGGAAATGACTGAATTTTTTTTTTCTCCATGCGTGGGAGGCTGCCACTGCCCACCCCACCTACGGAGTCGCAGCTGACGGTCGCGAGTATTCATAGTGTAAGTCCCTTATGCATTTTACGAAGATTCGCTCGAGAAGAAATAATTGACCGAAAATGTACCTGGCTCCTGGACTACAAGCATAGCCCTTTCCATAGCACGTTGAGCGACTTTGAATTTGTTGACCAGCCGTACCGTAAGTGTCCACGTTTTGGCTACGTATGTCATGACGGGTAGGACGCACTCATTGAAGACTTTCGTCTTAAGGAACTATGGGATCGACGTTGACATGACTCGACCTAGCTTCCCAAAGGCTGCCCAACCCAACTGAATTCTTCTGTTCACCTCGTCCTCGAAGTTCTTTCTACCTAACTGCAGTGTTTACCCGAGGTACAAATAATTTTGAACAACTTCGAGAACGCCATCGTGTACCGCAATCGGTTCCGGTAGTACATGCTCATTGAACATTATCTTGGTTCTATCCAAGTTCATCCGTAGGCCGATGCGTACAGAAGAGTCAGCTAGGTCATTCAGCATCTGTTGTAGGTCCTGCAGCGTCTCTGCCAAGAATATTATTAAGAATATTATTACGAATAAATACAATAATAATAGCACTACTATTCAAAAATACACCTACGCCTTTGTTCCCCGCTGGTAAGCAGACGTGTAGGTATTACGCGCTCGCAATTCGTCGACTATAAGTTTAGTCCCACTTATGATATCGTGGCTAACCTTTTGTCATCGACCGGAATCTTTAGGGATTAGATGGGAAGATAGTAAAAGGAAAAAAGGGCAAATTGATAGTGGAAAGATACATAAGAAACTGAAGGCAAAGATGAGACCATCAGTCGTCTTTAACCAATTATTATATAGTAATAATACTATTATTCTTATTTAACTTTTTTAAATAACCTGAAAGTTAGTTCTTTGCTCAAAGTTTTGCTTATACATATGTAAAGGTCACGGTCAAGTATCGTATAATAGCGCTCTCCGCAAAACTTACTATTTGCTTATAATTAAATGTTAATAAACAACACATTTAACATATTTTTTATTTATTTCTTTAACGTCAAATTTTATTCCGCAATTTTTAAATCCGCAATTAAACGTGAATTGGGTCGGAGAGCCTATTATTTAATTGTGGATTACATAGAAGACAAAAATGCTTGGCCGTAATTTAGCGCAGGCTATTTCTTAATTGGAAATGTGATGTAGGCTAGGGTGTTTTTTATTATAACTTTTTTCTATTTTTATGTTTCACTTTACTTTCTCTTTTATTTGATATTTTTTCCTAATCTTATTGTCCTTTTACCTTTTAGTCCTTAACTACATATACATACTGGCACACATCGGCACAATGTTGTGGTATATTTAATAATGCCATTGTATTTATCTGTAAATTGCAAAAGAGTGGCCATGAGTTTGTTTGCCCTTTCTTCATAAGGCTCAATCCCTTGGTAAAGGGCGGATATGGATCGGCTCAGGCAGTTTTTTTTAAGCATATTTTCTTTAAAAAAACCAGCAAAACAGATATTGTTGCTATTATATGTGTTGATCTACGACTTTAGAGTCTACATAAAAGACGATTTCAAACATATTTTTTTTATGAAATAAAGATATTTTTAATTTAATTTTAAATTGTAGAGTATACTATAGATTCTATAATATACTCTGTAATGAGCCTACTCCCCTCACGGAGCTCATACGCCTCCCCTTCCCTCCCCCAATCCTATATTATACACCATGGATTTGTAAATACACTACACTACATTATGCACTTTTAGAAACATGATCCAGATAATGTAGTGCGCGCGTGTAACTCGCATTTGGACGCTTGCAAGTAAATAAACAATCATAATTTACATTACAATTACATTCGTAAAATCCTAGTATTATTTTTGTTTAGCCTTAGACTTATTCTTTATCAGTTATCGTTAATATTTATTAGATAAAAACATCATTTAACTTTAAATGAAAAATATAACTCCTGCACTAGGCATGTAACGTGTCGCGAGGTCTTTACACACTTACATGAAACATGAACACCCAGACTCAAAACAACAATTTGTGGATCGGGGATCAAACCCACAACACTCAGTAGAAAGCTGCGAGGTGTGACAGCTTAAACCACTACGCCATCTGTGCAGTCCAATGCCAAAGTTTTGTACTTATTTTAATACTGCTTATATTCTTAATTATCCGTGTAGGTAGCACAATGCATAGTCGATCGGTAAATTAAGCTGTACGGGTCGGTGGCACTGCCCGGAGCTCCGTACCGATCATGAAATATTTATACTTACCAACAATTTAGATAAACGATTTGCGTTGGTATTATGGGAAATTTTCGATATAGTTACCCTTTAAAAAAGTAACACACTACAATGCATCTACTTCCTCCGAGCCCTTTTCCTAAACTAATCTTGAAGTTCTGTAGAAAGACTTTTTCAAGGTTACTACTACTACTACTACAATGCATAGATCTACATCATGACTAAATGTATAAACTATATCCTTGATCCCTAATTTGATATCAAACAGAAAGTATTAAAACAGCCTACAAATGACGGAGATTTGAGATATCAAACATAAAAAAAAACCGGTCAGGTAGGAGTCGAACTCGTGCGCTGAGGGTGCCGTACTTATCCAGATTTTACATAGATTTTCGCGAAAATTTGTAAGTACCAAAATTTATCTTAATTTTCAACTTCTTTATTTTTTGGAATTATTCCTTTATTTGTGCGTATCTTTTTGCCAAATTTCGTGATTCTAGGTCAACGGGAACTACCATATAGGTTTTCGACAAAAACTTAGAGGGTACTTCCGGTTGACCTAGAATTGTCAATTTACAGCACAAGTAAAGAGAAAATTCTGAAAAATAAAAAAAGCTGAATATTAAGGTAAATTTTGAAACTTACAAGTTTTCGCGAAAATCGAATTTTGCCCATATCTTTTTATCGTGTTGACTCAGGACCTTGATTTTTATACACCTAATAGGGACCATTGACTGAGGTCTATGGTCCCTATTAGGTGTTTTAGTTGAAATTTATACCAGATATTGAGGTATCTGGTATAAATTTCAACTTGCTTGGTCTACCCGTTCCTGAGAAAATCGGTGGTGACACACGGACAGACAGACAAGAAAGTGATCTTATAAGGGTTTTTTACCTTTTGAGGTACGGAACCCTAAAAATGAAATCGAATTAGTAATCTTATCTTTTCTTGAAGTCGGTTAAGAACTTGAATATGCACAGGTTATACTATTATACAATGTAGTTTATATTTTCTTTATTAATTGTTGTTTGATAACAGCACGTGTAAATAGACACTCTTCGAGACACTTTTTGTCCCGCACAACCAATCTGTGGAACGGGGTATCGTCTGCGGTATTTCCGGACCGATACGACCCTCAAACCTTCAAAAAAATAGCGTACTCCATCCTAAAAGGCCGACAACGCGCTTGTAACTCCTCAGTTGCAGACGTTTATGGGCGGCGATGGTTGCTTTTAATTGGCATACGTTAAAAGTTACTTGGGTGTATGAATGAATTTAATTTTTTCAATAAATGATTTATCATTTGCAGCCGTTGGTTCATCTCTCTTAGTTGATTTAGAAACAATATACCTCATATTGTCAACAAACTCAGCCGGCTATATAGCTCTCCCATTTCAAGTCGCATGACACCAACTCTAACACTTCCATTGTGACAAAGCGATTTCGCAGTAGTCGACATTTTTAAATATTCTCGGATTCATCGAATGAAAATTTGGTCCATGAGATTAAAAAAAAACAATGCAAATAACCTATCGTGAACATTAAATAGTACCGTGAGTTAGGCCCTGACATTCATAATTCTTTTTTTTTTATGTTAGAGTGGGCAGACAAGCAGACGGGTCACTTGATGGAAAGTGACTATCACCGCCCATGAACGTCTGTAACTCAGGAGTCACAAACGCGTTGCCGGCCTTTTAGGAATCTCGGCTCGGCCGGCTCTTTTCTTGATGGTTTGAAAGTCGTATCGGTCCGGAAATACCGCAGACGATAACCCGTTCCACAGATTGGTTGTGCGGGACAAAAAGTGTCTCGAAAAGCGCACAGTAGTGGAGCGCCAACTATCCAGATAATGAGGATGAAAATTTTGCCGTGTGGCACGATGGCGGAAATTTGCGGCTGGTATTAGTCCGAACAATTCCTCTGAGCACTCTCCATGATATATGCGATAGAGAATGCAAAGTGAAGCCACATCTCTACCTAACGCCAAGGGCTCGAGCCGATCGGAGATGTTTGGGATATCGACGATTCGAGTCGCTCTTCGTTGGATGCGGTCCAGAGGGAGAAGCTGGTACTGAGGTGCCCCAGCATAGAGATGAGAACAGTATTCCATATGCGGTCAAACTTGCGCCTTATAGAGCTGAAGGCGGTGGACCGGAGTGAAATACTACCTCGCTCTGTTCAGTACACCGAGCTTCTTCGAGGCCAATTTTACAAATAATGCAGCACACACGCTCTGACCTCGACAAAATTAAGGCTAAATGCTGAAATAAACTAAGTTTATATAATTCCGGGTTGAACCTATAATACTCAGTTAGAGTATAAACCCGTAATTTATATTTTAGAATTAATATATTTATTACATGGACCTCACGACATAGAGTATCCTAGTGTTGGGCCCAGTGACTATCTATATATTATATATATACAGTAATAGATTACAATCTAGCCATTTTTTTTGTGTAACTAGATTTATTTGCAATACTTTATATTTCTGAATAAATCAAATATTATTATTATCACATTAATTAATTAATCTAAGTCAGTATGAAATTCTTGAAAAAGAAGGAGAATATATTGATTCTATGCATTTGACATGACATATTCAAATGAACGTGGCTGGTAAAGACACATCAAATAAATAAATACATATGTATACATTTATGAGTAATCCGTGTTCCAGCAATGTTTGATTGTAGTCTTTTAACTTACATTTCTCAGGAGTCTTAGAAATAATGAAAACGCTAAATAAAATCAATAGAGATTACTTATTTTACACATTTATTGACTCAGTTATAATTTTATTTATAAATAAAACATATATGAACCATACACTTGTATTGAAATAACATTTCGTTACAATCTATTGTCAAGTATCATTTTGATTTTATCATTTATAAATGAGTTTATTCGAGCTCCATAAATGAACTCTAAGTGAGTAAAGTCTAAAGATTCGTTAAAATTAACGTATTTTACTACATTTGGTAGCTTACTCAAAAGATTCTTTACATCTACTGTTGTACTAAACCAATCAGAATCACTATAAAAAATATAAAGAGGTGCTGTTACCAGCGATAAATTATAATTTGGTGGTACAGGCGATGAATAAATAAGTTGGTTTGCCTTAGAGCCATAATCATATCGTTGAAATCTTTTACTTAAATAGGTTTGAAAGAAATGAACAAAAGTCTTTGTTGATATACCTGCAGGAATATGACTAGCGAGCACAGGAAGTTTTTCTGGATAAAGATTCTTTATATTCTTAATGCCATAAGCGATGTAAAATTCCAAAGCACACAAGATTTGTCCAGTCACTCCATCTTGACATACCTTGGCATGATACAAGTTTAAGAACACATTATCCGAAAATAAATTATACACTCCAATTCCATTAAAAAATGAGTATAACAAATTAATATTCGAAGCAAATACGTCCATAAATGGGTACTTGATATTACTTATCCAGGCTACAGGAGCCAACAGAATTGCTTTCTTAATCTTTTCATTATATTCAGGTCGCATACTGCACATGATCAAAAAATTTGTGGTTCCTTGAGAAAATCCAATATACGACAACCTCTTTTGGGAAGTGGTTAGAAGTATGTGATCAATCAAAGCAGGTAAATCTTCAGTTCCCATTTCTTCATTACTGAAATTCCAATATTGCTTTTGATTAAGATTTTTGACATGTCCTTGGCTGTATTTGTTCCCTCGAGCATTGTAAATCCACACGTCATATCCCAGATCCGATAATTGAAAAGCCACTGATCTTGAAGGACCTAACACCAACCACGAGTCAGAACTGTCACCAATTCCATGCACTAACAAAACTGGAGGTCCACTATTCGGTATTCTATACGACTTCACTAAGTAACCGTCACTCGTAATAACTGTCTGTACTTCAGGAGTGTATCCATATTTAGAAATCAATTGTAATGAGTTTAAATAAACGTCTGAATTTTGGTCCTTAAAGTCTATGGAATTATTCGATTTTATTTTACGTCTATTCTGCACATAACCGAAACAAAAAATAAAAATAACACAACGAAAAACATTCGCGTAACCGAAATACATAGTGATTACGAAACGTCTCACTGTTACAAATATAAAATTCAATCTGTTGTTTTACGCACACGACTCTGTTATTTACCTGACTGTTGTCAGTCAATGCCATGCCACAAGCTTACCGTCGACGATGAACTAACTTTAACCTTAGACGGTGACCTATGGGTTATATCAGCGGCTACCAATCGGAAGTACATGTACTTAACTGGCTTATGTATACAAGTGATGGTAAAATATTTGACAAACCGGACTAACAACTTTAGGCAAGGTTGAAACCTGACCATGCACTTAAGTTTTTCTTTTTTTATCAGTTTTAAAAAAAACGGGTTATCAGTTTCATCATAAAATAACGCGGTTACGGTATACGCATTAATGAATTAATAAACATCTACGGCGATTCAACATTTATATGATTATCTATCTTAGTGTTCAATCAAAATTCAATGATAATTACTTGCTGGCGAGTCTGATTTACTATTATTTAATTTCGATGTATATTTTGAATAAATATCAATTCTAGTCCATTTTCTTACTTTAAAAAAAAACCTCCTTGGGAGTGTAATCGTTTTCAACCAGGTATGAAGATAAATTTCACGGGCCTGTTGGTCTAGTGGTTAGAGAACCTGACTGCTAAATCGGAGGTCGTGGGTTTGAGTGCCACCCAGGACAAATATTGTGTGATGTGTACGTCACTTCATTCGTTCTATGTCTAGGTGTAATTTATCTCTAATATGTATCTATTTTAAAATATATAAGTATGTTTATCAGCAGTCTGGTTACTATAGTATAGGCTCTGCCTGGTTTGGAATCAGACGGCCGTGTATGAGATGTGTGAGACATTATAAAAAAAGGGTAACGAAAACAAATAGAACGAGGGAGATGGGCAATCGGATTTCGAGGAATCGGGCGCCTGTATGATCTACAAGCCTAGCCTAGCTACAGCCTAGATTAAAATCTAATTTTTAATCTTTTAAAGGTCCGTGCTTTGAGCTAGGTTCTTGGAAATAAAGATAGATATAGATATGTTTTGTTTTGTCCCATTTAATTTGTGGGTCGAGAGCAGATCGGCATTAGATGTGATTAAGATAATAAAATAATAATAAAGACTCACCTTCATTGATTCAAAGGATCTTTAATAAGAAGTAAGTACTGAGTTATGTTTATTTTTTGTTATACCTTATCGTTCACAGTTCAATGAATAGTCGCGATACTACAGTACTTAAACATTTGGCATTAAATATAACCTTGGACTTTATTTTGTTAAAAAAAATGTTGTAATTGATTCTTTAAGGAGGTTACAATATCCCGCAATACTAAACAAACAAACATAAAAACGTTTAATCGTCAAAGGTTGCATCAGATGTCAAGGTCAACATACCGAAAGGAATGCTTCTTTAATACTAGTCCGAACAATGGGTGTAAGTGTAGTAATGAATTGACTGTATACACTTAATGCTTATAATACATGTGTACGCTAAATATTCAAAAAATTACAAGGACGACTATACAGTGTCAAAATTCTCTCTCATTTGAAATTTTAAACTAAAAATATGAAATCGTAACAAACAAATAATGTTTATGAATTACATTTTATGTAGTAATTTATTTTAATGCTTTATATACAAAAATATACAAAGGTGGACTTAAGTGGTGGCCATAGGTATTCTCAGCCATTTTACTTTGGGGTGGTGTAGTAAAGAGTGAATATTGATTTTGATAGCGGGGCTTAGAGGGGTCGTACTTTCCAGAAAAAGTCGTTTCGAGTTACAGGTGACCTTGATTTACCCGAGCTTTTGCTGTCACTCCCGAGTCCATTCGTATTAGCAAAATACCTTTCCTGCCTTACCTACCAAACTTATCAATTTTTCCTGTCATATTGAACTTTTTAGTATCCTATTTCTAATGCCTTTCTGAGTGCCAGGTTAATGGCAATAGGCCTGTAATGTATTACGTGAATGTGAAATATATTACATACTTATATTATAAAGTGAGTGTTGCACGTAAAAAAACTTTTAAAAATGTAATATTTTTGTAAGTTGTATTAAGTTACTAATTTATATTAAGTTGTATGCTGTGTTTTCTTACAGAATAAAGTTTAGCTTAATTATTTATTTATTTATAGTTTGTTGGTTTGTTTGTTAGCTTTCACGCCTAAACCACTAAAGCGATTTATAAAATTCTTTTACCGATAGAAAGCTACATTTTTAGCGATTAATATAGGCAACTTTTTACCGCAATAACCATGTATAATAATAAGTAGTGGGAAAAGAAAATTATAGTAGACCAAATGTGAGCGTACGATACGCCTCTGCGTGCCCCTACAGAGATATAGGATTCGTTATGATCAGGACGAATGATGTGTGTATGTGATGAATAACAGTTATTGTTCTGAGTCTACCCCGGTATTTTCTTGATGATGATGAGAACGCATGTTCACATCAGAGCAATCTACAAGGCTTTATTAGAAATAGGTAGACTTCATAACAAAAAAAAAACAAATACAAATATCGAATTCCTATTCCAATTCCTAGGAATATATCCTGTGTCGCGAGGTCTCCACAAACACACTTGGAACGGACACAAAGAACATCTAGAAGAATTAATTCGTCCCGGTGTATGTGGACTGTTGGTATCCAATCAATACCGGCGTATTAAACCTTCCACACTATTTGCTCCAGCTACATGTATGCACTGTAGCACAATTTAATTCACCCATTCCACGAGCACTTAGCGCACTTAACGCTCTCTTGGAAGCAAATCCAGATTGTGACTTGTTTGCGGGTGGATGGTAGACGATTATGTCAGTATGTGTGATGTATGCATTACATATAAATCTGCTGTTTTTATGTTTTTCTATTAAGTTTCTCTCTTAATTCGTGTTTAAGTTTAAGATAATAATTAAGAAAAAACATATAAACTATTTTATCTGTTGTTGTACTTAGTACGTAGGTAAACAAGGCTATAATTTAAAAAATTAAAATTCGACTGCACAAAGACTATTTAAAAGTAACGCACTAAAAAGACCGCTAAAAAAACTCGCACGAGGTCCGACACAAACATGGCTCGTTTTTAAGCTTTCAGAAACTTTTTAAACCAATTTCCTTGTTAAATTTATTTTTTTACTTATATAAATTTTTATTTATTTTAGAGCTGAAGGCGGTGGGCTGGACTGCAATACACCCTCGATCTGGTCAGCACACTGAAGCTTCTTTGACGGGAGTTTGACCTTACCCACTAAGTGACCCCGAAACTGGACTTCGCTCGATATGTCGATGCTTAGGACTCCGATACTAGCTGAGGCAGTTAGGGAGGTGCTTTTAGACCGAGGTGATACGACAAACGGTATCTTCTTTGCGGTGAACGCTTGGACCTGTGTCTTGACCTTGACCCAATCTGAAACCTCCGCTGAGGAAGTTTCAATTTCAGAAACATGTTTGTTTCGACTCCCGATGAGGTTTTACCGAGAAATACTGGAGCGGCCGTTATAAAGGGCATATCCCGTAGTATCATCTGCATAGATTGTCGGTTTCCATAGACAGTGGCATCAAATGCCTTCATTTGCCCCTATGTTATAAAAAACCTTATCTACTTAACTTTTATATAAAAAAAAAATACACAACTATTTCATATCTGAAATAGTTGTGTAAACTCTTGTTTGTTTGTAAGTGTAAGTTGTGTAATACAAGTTGTGAAAAATTTTTCACAACTTGTATACAAATATTCGGTTACAGTTTCGCATAGAATTTTATTTTTGGATATTGGATACTTTCGGTTCCGGTGAGTTTCAATTTTTTTTATATTCTATTGTATTAGGTATTGTACTAACCGTTCCCTGCACTAACTGCTCCCCGCACCAGCGATCACATTTGCTTATAAAGATCGTAGTATGGTTTTATGAACACTCTATTCACAACAAAAAGAATTATACATTATTATTTTATATATATTATTCTAAATAAACATGGCTAACGTGGCATATAATATTTGGAAAACATAAAGTTCATAATATAGAAGTAGTGAAAGAGTTAAAAGAGCTACATAAAACTATACGGAAATAATATAGTATATATTTTGACATGTACCAATAGTACAAAAGTCTGTACGATGACAGTTCAAGTTACACTGGACAATGAAATAAAACAAGACATTTAAATCGGTCGATGTTCGACTACCATGCGGTCCCTTGTCAATTAAACAGATAAACTAACCTACACTCCATCCACTATCTCTATCCACGCCCATAGATGGATGGATAACTAACAAGGCAGTAAAAATCTTTACGTCATAGAAAAAAAAAAATTCCTTGAAAACAACAATATTTAGGACAAGTCAAGTGTGTATAAAAAACAATTACTCGCAAAATGTGGATGGCCATCGTAAGCTATATTTAATTGAAGGTCAGAATACCAAAGTAACTTGTGGATACTTATGGTTGAAACTGTACTTTAATTAAATAATGAATGTACATTCGCTAATATAATAACAGTAGTTCCGTGTAATAAAGTAGTACCGTGGGAGGGCCTTACTTCAGCACATATGACAATGAAACCTCACAAAAAACTGGTGTTTAACAATTCTTTCCTTGTACTTTACCCAGTTTAGTAACATTATTTGCGCCCCTCTCTATTCATCCATGAGCAGCGGTAGCCGCTTTCCATCGGGTTACCTGTGGGTGGTAGATCCTCCTCTCAACTTTGTTAGACGCAAATCTTGTGCATCAATACATCAAATAAGTACACATTCAATCAACCAATCAATCTATTGCAATCCTGGTCCTCTACTCTATGCTTCTAGTCTATCTTAACTACCTTTCTAGGTCGTCAATCCATCCGGCTGGGCGCCAGAGTTCAACCTTCCATTCACCGTTTCACAGTCTACCCTCTAGGACCTCTAAAGGCCTTCGTCTCTCCAGCAAATGTGGTCAGACTATTGCCACTTCAGCGTGCTTATTCTGTGAGCTATTTCGGTTAACTTTGGCTTTTGTGATGAGTAAAGACAATGCTCCACCTCTGGAAGTCATATTAGAATAAAAAAGAAACCGTATATTGTCTATGGTGTTCTGCGTTTTAAAAAATCTCTCTCTGTAAAAATGGCTGTTACGTGTAAGAGTTATGTGAAGTATTAAAACAATAGATTAAAAGAAGATATGTTGTTTATTTGCCGCCACCTTAATCCAGGGAACTCTAACATTTTGGCC